CTCTCCATCTACTCTTGATCTCTCGACTTAGAGGCACTTAAGGTGTGACCCACATCAACTCTGGCCAAAGTCCAAACCCAAACATGACTGCGCAACACAGCTGTGCCATTTGCCTTTACACCTCGTTGTTGCCACATCTCAGGGAACCCCAGCAGGGCCCCATCCCTACAGAAGGCAAGGCCCCTGCTCAGGCCCAGTGGTCACCAGTTCCTCTTCCACTTTCAGCCACGTACGGAACTTTCCACTGCAAACACACCTTAGGGAAGTGGCATCACTCAACGGGGGTGCGGGGAAGGAGGCAAACTCTCTGACTCACCATTTGTCATGGACCAAGGTTCCTGCTCTGGGCAAGGCCCCTCAATTCAGGGGACTGTAGATAACACTGACTTTTTATTTTTAACCAATAACGAGTTTTTCATATTTTTTTTTTACTAATAATACTTATACATTTCTAGCTCTCACAAACATATAGAATAAGGGTTTTTGCATAATAAGCAGGTTGCTATTTAGGTTAACAATTTTAATTCAGGTTTTTTAGTTGGATAAACAAATTCCTGTAACCTTCTATTTCCTATCATTGTAGTAATTGCTCTAGTGATAATGACTATATATATATTGGCTACACTGGTGCATGGGACATACTGTATTTTTTTATAACTAAATAAAGAAAAATCTTGAAATACTTCTCTTTCTAGAGCTGAGCGAGCTCATGTGAAACACAAGCACATACACCACCACCACCACCGTCAGAGGAACCCAGGGTGCAAGGCGACATTTGCAGTCAGAAACACACTGCAGGAAAGTGACTGCAGCAGAGGGACACCTAGCCCATCCCGGTTTCCTCTCAGAGCCCCATGCCTTCCCTCAGCCTCTGTACGTGGCCCCCAATCCCACCCCGACTCTACACAGCAGGCAGGGCCTCTGGAAGCTGGAGCTGCCACACCTTTTCCAACTGAGAAATGAACCAGACGAGTGATATACATCAGCAGTGAGGGAGGAAATCTAATTAGCTGGTTGACAACAGTGATGGAGCGGCTGGCATTTAGTGGGGTGTGTGGACCCCAACATTGGGGTCCTGCCTGGAAAACCTCACAATCGAAAATGAGAACAGGAAGCCTCTTTGCCAGACTTGGGACTTGAATTGGGTAGGTGGGAGATGAAGCTCACTGCAGCAAGGCCCCCGCGCCTTCATGTCCTGCAGGATTTCCTGGGCTGTGTGTCTCCCAGGGATGAGATTTTGCAAACTGTGCTCTGGATGCACTTTCCTGGAGCTCTCAGGGGGCAATTTGTCTTAATTTCAATTTTGCTCTAATTTTATTGGGATTTCTTTTTTGATCCATTGGTTATTTGTTTTTGAAATGTATTGTTTAATTTCCAAACATCTGTGAACTTTCCCAATTTCCTTCCATTATTGATTTCTAATTTCATTCCACTGTGGTCAGAGAACATAAGTTTTATGATTTAAATCCTTGTAACTTTACTGATACTAGCTTTATACCCTAACATATGTTTTATCCTGAAGAATGTTCCATGTGCACTAGAGAGGAATATGTATCCTACTGTTGTGATGGAGTGTTCTATAGTGGTATGTTAGTGTTGTTCAAGACTTTTATTTCCACACTGATTTTCTGTCTAGTTAGTCTATCAATTATTGAAAGTCTAATGCTAAAATCTCCAGCTATTACTGTTGAATTGTATATTCCTCCCTTCAACTCTCATCAGATTTTGCTTCATATAGTTTGAGTCTCTGTTGTTACGGGCATATAATCTTATAATTGTTGTATCTTCCTGATGGATTGACCCTCTGAGCATTATCACATGTACCTCTTTACATCTAGTCACAATTTTTATCTTAAAGTCTATTTTGTCTGATATTAGTATAGTCACTCCAGCTCTCTTTTGGTTACTGTTTACATGGTATATCTTTTTCTATCCTTTTCTTTTCAACCTATTTGTGTCTTTTAATAGAAAGTGTGTCTTCTGTGAACAAAATATAGTTGGATCAGGGCAGTTTATCCATTCTACCAATCTCTCTTTGATTGCAATGTTTAATCCTTTTACATTTAATGTAATTACCAACAAGGTAGGGTTTATGCCTGTCATTTTCCTATTTGTATTCTTTGGCTTATGTCTTTTTTGTTCCTCTATTACCCCATTATTGCCGTGTTTATGTTAAATAGATATTTTATAGTGTACCATTTTAATTCTCTTGACGTTTCTTTGACTATATTTTATGTTTTTTTCTTAGTGGTTCTCCTAAGGATTATACTTAAAATCTTAACTTATAACAATCCAGTTAGAATTTGTAACAACTTAATTTAAGTAGTGTACAAAACTTTGCCCCTAATAGATCCACTCCCTCCCCGCTCCTTTGTGCTATCGCTGTTGTACATACTACATTTTTATACATCGTATGCCCATCAACATAGATTTATAATTATTGCTTTATGCAGTTGTCTTTTAAATCATATAGGAGGGAAAAAAAGAGTTACAAACTATATATATACTGCCTTTTTTTCTATAAATGTATTTATTTTATTTATTTTTGGCTGCATTGGGTCTTCGTTGCTGCGTGTGTGCTTTCTCTAGTTGCGGCAAGTAGGGGCTCTTCTTCATTGCAGTGCGCGGGCTTCTCACTGTGGTGGCTTCTCTTGTTGCGGAGCACGGGCTCTAGGCGCGCGAGCTTCAGTAGTTGTGGCTCGCGGGCTCTAGAGCACGGGCTCAGTAGTTGTGGTGCACGGGCTTAGTTGCTCCACGGCATGTGGGATCTTCCTGGACCAGGGCTCAAACAAACCCATGTCCCCTGCATTGGCAGGCAGATTCTTAACCACTGCACCACCAGGGGAGCCCTATACTGTCTTTTATATTTACTTATACAGTTACCTTTATCGCTGATCTTTATTTCTTCATGTGGATTCAAGTTACTGTCTATTTTCTTTCATTTCAGCCTGAATGATCCCTTTAGTATATTTTGTAGGGAAGGTCTGCTAGTGAGGAATCTATTTTATCTGGGAAGTCTTGATTTCACCTTTATTTTTTGCAGGATAGTTTTGCTAGGTATGGAATTACTGGTTGATAGGCTTTTTCTTTCAGCCCTTTGCATGTCATCCCACTGCCTTCTGGCCTCCCTGGCTTCTGATGAGAAACTCAGTGTTAATCTTATTGAGGAAACGTTTTATGTGATAAGCTGTTTCTCTCTTGCTGCTTTCAATATTCCCTCTGTCTGTGATTTTCAACAGTCTCATTATGATGTGTCTAGAGTTGATCTTAGGAGTTCATTGAACTTTTTAGATGTGTAGATTAATATTTTTATCAAATTTGGGAAGTTTGGGACCATTATTTCTTCAAATATTCTGTCTCTTTCTCTCTCTCCTTTCCTCTGGGACTCTCATTATGCATGTATTAGGATGCTTGCTAATGTCCAATGGGTATCTAAGGCTCTATTAATTTTCTTTTTTCTGCTCCTCAGACTAGATTATCTCAATTAACCTATCTTCAAGTTTGCTGACCCTTTCTTCAGCTAACTCACAGTTGCTGTTGAGGTCTTCTAGTGTATTTTCCTTTCACTTATTGTACTTTCAACTCCAGAATTTCTATTTGGTTCTTTTTTATACCTCTTTATTGATATTCTCTATTTGTTGACACACCACTCTCATACTTCTCTTTCATTCTCTAGACATGGTTTCCTTTAGTTCTTTGAAAAGATTTTGAATAACTGGCTTAAAGTATTTGTCTAGTAAGTCCAACCTTTGGGTTTCTTTAGGGATAATTTCTATTGAATGTTTGTTTTCTTGTGAATGGGCCATTCTTTCTTATTTCTTGGCATGTCTCGTAATTTCTATAGAAAATTGGATATTTAAATAATACAATATGGCAACTGCAGAAACCAGATCCCTGACCCCCAGAGTCTGTTGTGGCTGGGTTTTGTTGCTTCTGCAGTTTGTTTAGTGACTTTCCTAAACTAATGCTGTAAAGTTTGTACTCTTTGTTGTGTGCGGTCACTGAAGCCTCTGTTTGGTAGTGCTCAGTTAGCAATTGGACAGAGTCCCTTAAATGCCTGGAATGAATAAGTCTCTCAGCATTTGCCAAGGAGTTCTGTATTTGGGGGAATTCCTCTGATACTCAGGCAGGCAGTCTACAAATCTGCCTTAGCCTTAACTTTTTGTTGCACAGAGCCTCCAGGTCAGTCAGAGGTGAGAGCTTAGGGCCTTCCCAGGTCTTCTCTGAGAATGTGCACATCCCTGCACATGTGAGTGGCCTTTTAGATTCCCAGGAATATGCCAAAGTTTTTCAAAGCCCTCTGTGGACAGCTCATGCCCTAACTCTTCCTTTAAGACTTTTGGTTAGCTCCTTGTTTGCCCTAGTTGTTATCATTGCCTCAGGCAACTGTGATGTTAAATGATTGCCATTGATTATTTTCAACAAATGCCCCCAGGAAAAAAGGCTTGCTTGCATTAAGCAAGCTTCAAGCCAGGTCAAATAAACACAACCTTTCAAGGGAGGTCATCTAGGGAACCACCAGATGGGTCAAATGAGGACAGTTACCTGGGAAATTGAGCTTTGGAGGAGTTGCAATTCTGTTCTGCCCCTTCCAATGGCTTCCAGGCTGCTGATTTTCACTGTTAATTGTGGAGCTACTGGGTTTCAAGGCTACTACAGGACTGGAGAGAGGGGAATGGGACTATGGAAAGTTAAAACACTACAAAGTTCACTATTCTTACCAAGATTTAGCTGATTGTTTTTAATGAATACTCCTTGGATTGTTTCAAGCCTTTGCTTAATTTCCGGAGTTCTGAAAAAGTTGATTTTGATAATTTTTTTCCAGTGTTCTCATTGCTTTTATGGAAGAGAGGATTTCCTTGTTCTGCCATTTCTGCTGATGTCACCCCCTCAGGATGGTTTTTGTGTTCTATTTTCCTACTTGTCTGAAGTGCCTGCCCTCTGAACTCACAGTTTTCCAATCCCTGGAGCCCATGGGATCTCTTCACTACTTCCTCCTCCAAGAAGCCTCCCAGGCAGTCCCAAATCAGGCAGTCCCTCTCCCTCCAACCCTCCCAGAGGGGCCCAGCTCTGAGCACTTTGCCACCCTGGCCACATCTTCTCTGACTCCTTTTTACCCTGAGGTGGGAAGAGTGATCCTCATGACAGCTAAGGGCTCACCTCTCAGTTTGGAACCTTTAGTGGACACCAGGAAAGGGCACAAACCCAGTGCTCCCTGGAATCTGCTTACCACACTGCACATACCTGCTCGGTCCATGGGCCCCCCACCTGGCCAAAGTGGGCAGGAGCCGCAAAGGCTCTGAGCCCTTCCCCAGTTCAGACCTATGAAGCCAGCATGACCTTCCTCATTTCACAGATGACTAAAGTGAGACCCAGAAAGGGATCTTTCTGGAACTCTGCCTTTCTGGGAAGGCCCTAAGCTCTCTTCTCTGGCTGACCTTGAGGGTCTGTGCAATAAAAAGTGGCCAGAGCCACACAGCGAGTTAAAGAGAGAGTTGGGAGTAGCACCCGCCTCCTGGCTCCCAGGAAAATGTGGATCTGCGGGAGACCTCCTCAGACCTGGGGGCATGGAGGCTGGACCAAGAAACATCTTCCACGCCCATTGTGCTAGTCATGGAGAAAATGACCACTAGGGGGTGCGCGGCCTCAACACGTGCTCAGGACTCAATAGCGTCCCGGGGATGGAACACCACGGTATCCTGACACAGACCTCAGGTTCCAAGGGGCCTGGACCTTGGCAGAACCCAGATCAGAGAGGCAACCATGGGGTCTGGCCCCACAACTCACTCTGCACCTCCCCTCCTGCCAGTCTCTGATGGGGAAAAGAAAGGCAGGTACCTAGTTCCCCATAGGTACCTGTGGTCTCCAGCAGCACTGATGACAACAGAATCTCAACTAGAGGGAGCAGCTGGCCCTGGCTGTGGGATCCCTGGGCATGTGCACCCCATTATCCTTTCCTGCACCAGGGTCCCCTGCCTCAGTGTCCACACTCAGCCCTCCTGCTCTGCTACAGCCTGCTTTCGCCAAGCCAATCCTGGAGCATCGGCTCCGGGCCAGAAAGAGCAGCCATCCTTGAGCACCCTGGTTCCAGGCATCGCCCAGGTCAAGAATCCTTACCATAAATTCTACTGTCCTCGAAATGATAGGTTGAATCTCTGATCTTCAAAACCAAAACTCCAGACCACCCAGCAATTCCCCTTCTAAGGACATAGCCTAAGAGACAAGTACAGCACGTATCTGCCACAGTGTTAATTTCAGGTATATACAAATCAAAAAATAGGAAACAACAGAAATGCCCGATAATAAAAGACTCGTAGGTAAAATACGGCAGGATCCATAAAACAACACTGGCAGCCATTAAGTTGTGACATGGTGACCTTGAGTTGATCTCAAGGTCAAACAAAAAAGCTGAACTCAATGCATTATTTACAGTCAGATCTCAACTTTTTCTAGCAGATATCCATCTCCAGGCTTGGGAATTATGAATAATTTTTCTTTTTAATTCTGTGTTTCCCAAATTTTCAATAATCAGCATGCATTATGTTTATAATCAGAAAAGAATGTTATTTTAATGTTAACTTGTAAACACTTCCTTCTCATTGAAAAACAGTAAATTTGATAAGCAAAATTTGTCCCCACATATCATTTAAAGTTTTTGTTTTTTAAAAAAAAAGGTTTTTGGTTTACTATCTATTAATGCAACAGATACTTTTTTTAAATTAACTAATTGCTTTTGAACCCAGCAAAACAAGTTGTTGATTTTTTTTTTTAATCATTCCTTTGAACTTGGTCCTGTGGGATCTTCATCTCTTAGCCTTTGGAGTTTTTTAACCCCAGATTTCCAGCAACTTTCTGGATCAGAACTATTATAGTCCATGGGATGAGGAAAACCTGGTTTTCCAGCCAAGTGACCCCACAGGATTCTGCAATGCACAGAAATATCCTAGGGACTTCCCTGGTGGCGCAGTAGTTAAGAATCCACCTGCCAATGCAGCAGACACGAGTTCGAGCCCTGGTCAGGGAAGATCCCACATGCCATGGAACAACTAAGCCCGCCCATACATCACAACTACTGAACCTGTGCTCTAGAGCCCACGAGCCACAACTACTGAGGCCACGTGCCACAACTACTGAAGCCCACACGCCTAGAGCCTGTGCTCTGCAACAAGAGAAGTCACTGCAATGAGAGGCCCATGCACCGCAACGAAGAGTAGCCCCCACTCACCACGACTAGAGAAAAGCCCGTGCTCAGCAACAAAGACCTAATGCAGCCAAAATTAATTAATTAATTTTAAAAAGAGAAATATCCTACATTACTTTTATACTACATTACTCAAACATATAAGAGAAAAAGCGGAGACCAATTTCCCATAGTCCATCCAGAGACCATCTGGGGATGTCTCGGAAAGCTGAGTGTCCACCAACTCTCAGGGACTTCACAGAACTTTGCAATGTGCTTTTGTAGCATAAGGTGTAGGAAGTGCTGTTAACCTCTGATGC